TTTAATTCACGATCAGCGCAATCATAGAATTAAGTAATACTCGACATGAATTCTTCCATTTTGGCGTAATCATTGTTGACCATATTGCCTCAACAAACTGTGGAACCTAATGATTGACGTGCGGATATTATTATTCTGGTACATGGCGTAAAATCAGTAGGTATGTTCGCCTTCGGCAATGTAATAATGATGTTTGAATTCTGATATCAGGACGCTATGCAGCAGTTAAACCGCATTTCGTGGTTGTTAACCAGCCACCACGTGACAATTCGAATTTCTCATTCTCATGCATCGAAACCGAATCATGTAAATGCTGATCACCTACTGCATGCGTTATCAAACTGTTTTCGCTGATAGATCGACAATTCTAGTGCATTAATTGCCTGATTGGCGCTGTTTCATAATAACAGCAGTTTGAGCAAGCTGTGGTGCCGATTGTAAAGTTTGTGCGTCAACAGATGAAATGCAAACTCGCTTCTAATATGCTCGTTGTTATTAGAAACGAATTTCTATAAGGAGTTTCAGCAAAAACGAAATGAATTAAACAACTTTTTATTTGCATATTTCATATTTTACGGAACGATTCAATAGACTGTGGCAACATCGTAAAAACAGGTTTATTTCAGATACATTTACAATCCAAAATAAAGCAATATTGAAAATCGTACGCGATTTCTTTATGCAGGAGGTGATATAATCTTTAGGTAAGTCACAAACGGGAAGACAGCGCATAAAATAGTCTTTAATTAGGGACATCTGACGTTTCGGACCAAGTTCGGTGAGTCTTCAGTCTTCAGAGTACAATGACAAAAGGCACATAATGTTTTCATTCGGGTCTGGTTGACCCGCATGATTAATGGTGCCGTGTTTGCTACCTAGTCTTAATCGGCCGCCTGATGTTTGCGGACCATTTCGTTTCAAGGTACGATTGATGCAGTTGGTTGCACGGATCAATAACGCTTGTTTGACTTTGCGGGACAGATACTGTTGTTTCTGCGCGACACCTTTCATTCTGTCCCATGATATTTTGTGTTCCTGGGTAACAGCATGTTCCACAATGGCAGAATTTTTCTAGCATTCTGCCTTTATAAGTCCAGGGATTTTCGTCTGTCTCAGACCTCTAGCGACTTGCTGCTGACCCCTTTCTCTAGCGTCAGCGTTCTTCCACCTGAGGATATTCCTCATATGGTCTGTCTTCCTTTCTTCAACAGTGTTACCTGTTTCGCCTATGTAAACCGCACCACAGGAGCACGGGAGTTGGTACACCCAACCTGCTTTCTGCTCCTTATGTTTCTGGGTCTTGAGGTCGCTTAGTCGGCTGCGTAGTTAGAATACCAGGTTGAGTCCGGATGCAGATCCAATGCGTCGTGCGTCGCAGCTTTTCACTCAGCTGGCGAACGTATGGCAATGAAATGTAAATGTTATCAGGTGAGCGGCGAGACACTTTGCTTTGATATACTTGCCAAGGGAAGGGAAGTCTTCATCGCATAGCCCGTCGATCTGATATGATTTAGTTCTTGGCGAAAATCATCATTTGTTGTGCATATCTTCCGGCCTCTTTGGAGAAGGGTATTGAAAACATTTTTCTTTAGCCCTCTGGATGATAAGAAGAGTTACATAGATATTTCTCAGTATGCATCTTCTTGCGGAACATCGTTGTCAAATATCTCCGCTGATGGTGTCTTACTTGCACATCCAAGAAAGGGAGGGTGCTAGTTTTCTTCTTTCTCCATAGGCTGTTTAGATGTTTAAAGAACGGTGTTTCAGTTCCATTTTTACAGAGGGCAAATATGTCATCAACATACCATTTGAAAAAGGTTGGATAGGCATCTTTGTCACCCGTAGTGAAGGCCAAGTGTTCTAAATGTTCCATAAATATATCAGCCAGGGAAGAAGACAGAGGCGATTCCATAGGGATTCCTTTGTACTGACGATATAGATGGCCACTGAACTGAAAGTAATTGAAACCAGTGAGAAATATCCAAAGTAAAACAAGTGATAAACCAACGTGTACTTAGTGACGTTTCAGCTTGATCATGAAAGAAAAGCAAATAGCAGCAACATAATCACAAAAGTTAACAATGTTAATTTGTATACTCATCAGCATTACATATTTTGAATATGAATGCAAAATTAAATAATGCAATAATAATACATATATATACACAGGCCAGATCAAATGTATCGCACAAAATCCCGCAAGAAGACTACTTCATATAAATTCAGCTAACAAGTTTGCGGAAGGTAGTCTTAGTAACGATGTGAATAGGATGAGTGAAGAAAAGTCGAGAAAAGACAGATCTGACAGAATGGGGTCCGAAAATAATGGAATACTCCTACATGAAAAAGTCTGACGTAAAAGTGTTCTACATAATGAGAAGGGAAAGCTTATCAGATAAAGAAAGAAAAATGCAAACAATGCTAAGACAAAACTGTCGAAAAAGCAGTCGTAAATTCAACAGGACAGAGCGAAGATACAGCTTTGATGAAGAACATAAAGAAAACTGATCAAAATAGATGACTGGAAGAAAGAAAAAATTAATGAAGAAATGAAATACATGTACATGAGGACACGAGCAAGAAGAAATTGTCAGTAGAGAACACGACAAATGAAAAATAAACTAAAATAAAATGGCGCGACATTGCTTAACGGGAGAGGAGCGGATGCAACAAGAAGTGATAGAAAGCAACCATATAACGATGTAAAACAGCGACGATAACGCACAGTAAAGAATACGGGCATAGCAAGACGAACGCATGACAAGAAACCACTCAATTTAAAAACAGCTGGGCCGAAGAACTGTTCATCAAGCAGTGGTGTCATGTGACAAGAAGAAAAGGAAAATACGTGGTGAAGGAAACAAGACTAGAACGAGAAATAACAGAGCGCAAAACATGTGTAGGACAAGAAATTATGTTCTGTGAAAAACAAATGATGCGGAGGGACGGTAGTAAATCAGCAGATGTCGAAAAAAATAAAGAAATTGTGAGAGAACATGCGAGATCAGGAAGCAGCAAAGAGCATAACATACCTCGGAAACGAAAGTAATTTCAGGAAAGAGTTAGCAGAATAAAACGTAGGGAAAGCGCAGGAGATCAAGGAGTATGGCAAAGCGAATCATGGTGCAAAATGAGCTTACAGATGTCAACTGTAAAGTACGATACGAACAAAAGAGGATATACGGGACAAAACGCTAAGTAGGTGGGATACGCAATTGCTTACAACGAAGGTCAGAGCGATCTGGCAGTGACTGGC